GCCAAAACTTTAATGGTTGGTAGACTTCATTCTTTGGAGAAATTTTTCTGTAGTATGGTTACATCACTTTCTTTTTTAAAAGAATACATCGTAAAATATAAACTTCATCTGCCAAAGTAAATTGGTATGTAAGTGACAAATAGCATAATCACAATTGATCATTATACAAGACTCATGAATTGCAATAAGCCATAGGCCATCACAGAAGAGCCATATTTACAATGCTCAGACATCTCCCTAAACAAATGCTGCATTTTTACTCCAATGAGTAATATCTGAATACTTTCCAAAGGCACCCATCTAATTTATTGGCATCTCAATCAGATCATCAGCCAGAAAGAGCACCAGCCAAAAGCACAGCATATCATGACTTTAAAACCACACAGCAAAAAAAAAAAAATCTGCCTTGGAGATTTTAGACTTGACCCCAGTTTCAAAGGTCATCATTTATCACAGGAAATAAAGGGTTCACCGTATGTTTTTCTTCCTCTATATCAAGTCTCCATCACAGGAAAGTTTATATAAATGAAACACAGAATTGAAAGGACTGGCTGTCTCCAGGAAGTGGTAACACGATCAGTGGTCACAGATCCAGTCTTGCCCAGTGTAAAGGAAGCTCTCTCAGGTTGCCCTCAACTGTTTCTAAGAGGTCAAGTGCAGGTCACAATCACACAACTGGTCCAGGTCACTGCTTGGAGAAAAGAAATCGAAGATGCGGATCAACCATATGCCCTCATCATTTCACTCTGGTTGCTTATCTGGGCTGTAACCCCAGCAACAGTCAGGAAACTTGCTCCCCACCCTGAGTGATGGTTACATCCGTGATTGTGGTGATATGAAGCCCTAGCTGCCACCTGCCAAGTCTCACCAATGTGCCAGTGACCACACTCCGGTGTCTATCTCATTTCATCTTCAAATGCAGCAAGGTAGGGATCATCATTAGCCCATTTTACAGATGAGGAAACTGAGAGCCGTAGGAACTTATCATGTGGCTGAACTATAATTCAAATCCCAGGTTCTCAACCACTTCGCAATACTGCTCACGCTGAGAAATTTTACATTAAAAGGGTCTTTTGCGTTTCCACAGCAACTTCCTTCTAACAGTAGAACCTGCTGCCCACAGAAACCGGGAGATTTGCCCAAGGCCACAAACGAGACCTGGAGCCGAGGCAGGAGCCCTGGGTGCTGACTCCCCTGGCAGCGTCCTTGGGGCTGCAGCCCGGGCCTCAGAGCCCACCCAGAGGGCCTTAGCTCTGTTAAAGGACATGAGGGACCATCAGCCAAGAGGATGGAGAAACCTAAAACTGTAACCTTCTTGCAACAGGCAAAGATGCACCCCATCGTCTCCAGCTGCAGGCAGCAGTCCGGAGAGGAACATACCAAGCCCGTGCTTCGGGAGGCAAAACAGAGTCACCAAAGGAAACAGAATCACCAAGAACAGCCATGTAGAGAGACCTGTGTGGAGTCTCCCAGGTTTCCAATGACCCAGGGACCACTTACACTGCTGGTGAGAATACAAAATGGTACAGCCACTTTGGCAGACAGTTTGGCAGCTTCTTATAAAACTAAACATACTCTTACATAGGATCCAGCAATCGTACTCCTTGATACTTACCCAAAGGAGTTGAAAACTTACGCCCACACAGAAACCTGCACACAGATATTTATAGCAGCTTTATTCATAATTGCCAAAACTTGGAAGCACCCAAGATGTCCTTCAGTAGGTGAATGGATAAATAAACTGCGGTACCTCCAGACAATGGTATATTAGTGCTAAAAAAGAAATGAGCTTTCAAGCCATGAAAAGACACGGAGGAAACTTTAAGGTATATTACTCAGTTAAAAAGTCAATCTGAGAAGGCTACATACTGTATGAGTCCAACTGTGTGACATTCTAGAAAAAGCAAAACAGTGGAGACAGTAAAAAAGATCAGTGGTTGCCAGTGGGTGGGGGTAGGGAGAGACAAACAGGCAGAGCACAGAGGATTTTTAAGAGCAATGAAACTATTCTGTATGACACTATTATGGTGGATACATCTGTCCAAAGCCATAATGTACACCACCAAGAGTGAACCCTAGTGTAAACTATGGACTTTGTGTCATTTTGATGTGTCATGTAGGTTCATCAATTGTAGCAAAGGTACCACTCTGGTGGAGGATGTTAATCATGGAGGAAGCTGTGCACATTTAGGGGCAGGGGATATATGGGAACTCTCTGTAGCTTCCTCTTAATTTTGTTGTGAAGCTAAAACTGTTATGAAAGAATAAAATGTTAAAAAAAAAAAAACTAAGTACATGGCACAGCAACTTTCCCATCATCAAACAACCCCAAAATCAGAGTCAAAAAGCTGATGGCAAATGGGAACAAAGCCTGGGGAAATAAGTCCCGCCATGCGGGTGAGAGCAGTAGTCCACCAGCACCTGCGGTCTGAGGCACCAATGCCTAGGGTACCCTGGATGGGCCTGAGAAAGCCTGGGGCTGCAGTGTTGAGACTGGCACTGTGCCCCCAACATCCAGTAATGACCACTGCAAATTGTTTGTGGAAAAATTTACTTAAAGTTCTCTTTAAATGGTCATGTGGAGTCTGTACTCGTGAAGTCACCCACTCCTGATCTTTACAACCTGCTGTACCAAGACAGATAGCAGAATCCCACAGTGGAGCTCTCTTTGGGCGAGACTGCACCAAAGTCCCCTTCGTGCCCCCGGCGTCCATCATGGCCTCCAACACCACTGGCCTCAGAGCAGGTGCCAGTGGATGCATCTCAAAAATCACTTCCTTTGAGCTTAGGGTGGAGCTGCCAAGGCCCCCTTCCGGAAATCCACAGTCTACCCATGACCCAGTGTAATCTCTCTGACTGGGCCTTTAAAACCGGTTAAAGGTACCCCATTAATCAATTAGTTGCCCCATCTTCTGAGGCAGGGGGACTGGCATGTGCATAGTATTGAAGGGGAGGATTCTTTCTGATTCTGTATAAGAATTCTAGAATGTCCAGGGTGGAAAGGCCTTGAAAACTACTAAGACAGACTGCCACATCCCTGTTCCTCCCCACAGCCGGCCAGCTTCTGCCTGAAGCCCTCTTGGAACAGGAATCCACTCTCCAGGACAGCTCAGGTCCCTCTGCAATGGTGTTGCCTCCTCTCTCTCCAGTTCTATGAGCCGGACCACAAACAACCTAGACAATCTGATGGGGTCAGGTCTTGTGAAGTTTAAAGGCTATGATCACCTCCTCTGCCCCCCACACCGCCACCACTTCAGTTTCTTCAAGATTCTCTTGTATTTCCAATGCCCTTTCCAAGGATATGGAACGTTGGCCTTTTCAGGTGCAGCTCATCAGTCAGGGCAAAACCCCCATCCACTGTGTGCTGGCTCTGTGCCAGGCCCCACCAAGCACTTTACAAACAGGCACAGTTAATGCTCATGGCCACCTATGAAAGAGGGAGTTCCTACGCTCAATTTCACAGATGATAAATGCTCAGAGGAGATAAGCAGCACGTCCAAGTTCACGTGACTGGTAAGAGCCGGCGCCAGGGTGCCACCCAGGTCTTTTCCCATTTAGCATCCATGCATCCTGTATAAGGCAGATGTTCAGAACCTTCTGAACCATTTCTAATGAACAGGCCGTCACCACTACATCCAGGAGGATAACATCGACCCACAGTGATGAACACCTTGATTCGACTTCTGGGTCAAATGGGTCCCCTGGAAAGACTTTCCCAATAGGATCTCCGAAGAGAGCCCAGAAAACAGAGCCCAACAGACAAGTAACAAGAGCGGCTAGCCCGTGTCAGCACCAGGCTCTGTATCGGACGGTTTCTAAATACTAACTCCTTTCAGCCTCCCACCAAGGTAGGCACCGTTTTTACAGATGAAGAAACACACACAGATCAAGTAAGCAACTTCTCCAAAGTCACACAGCTGCTAAAAGTGCTGGAGCTGGGACCGAACCTCAACTAACCCAGTTCTCAAATATGGGTTTCCTCCTGACCAGTCAGAGGCCCGACCTGGCCCTCCATCACCACAGTCAGCAACTGAACCTCTGCACATGGGCCAGCGTTGACAGCATGAGTCATTTACGAGTTCTGGGCCAGCCAAGGTCTTCAGACTCCAGGAGCGGGTGACTCAGTGTAGCCACCCGGTCCTGGGCTCCAGATTTCTCTTTGTCAAGTGCACGGATCTGTATATGCTGAATGTCTGTTTATTAGAGCAAAACAAAGAAGTCAATGCAGGCAAATAAAATCTGTAGGAAACACATGGTTTCGGCAAGTCACTGGGGCAGCAAACAATAGAAGGGAATGGTCAGGCAAAATCTCTGCAAAGAGAAATTGCCTTGCGGGTCCCAAACCTGCAGACCCCCTACTTGAGCCAGCAGCTTGGGTTGGGAGGAGGGGCTGGAAGACCCTCTAAAGGGGCCAGGCCAGTGTCTGGGAGACCACAGGCCTCCAGGGCGCCTCTCTGAATGACCAGAGCCCCAAAGGGCGTGGAGGATGTGGTGGAACACATGTGCCCAGGGTGGGGCTTCCGGCTGAACGCGCCACCCCTCCCAGCAGTGTTAACAGAGTCGGCGCCTCCCCAGGGCCCACAGTTCCGTCTGACCGTGAGTTTAGGAAAGCGCCTGTCTGCTATTATTCAGCAACTTCTAGGCAGGCCCTGTTGTTATTATTATTAACAAAGATAAGATTACAACTAATAATAATGCGTGACATTTACATGCATTTCGTCCTATCGCTTCAGCCTTGCTCTCTGAGGGAGGGTAGAGTTCAAATTCCACACTTGAATTGCTCCAGAGGCCTCACGTGCCAATTCACCCAAAGGCAGATGAAATTTCCAGAGCCTTTTTAAGAACTAAGTGATTTTTTTTTTCTTTGAACGAGTATACCAGGTACTCTGCAGTTTGAGCTGCTGGGAGGAAAATGCCTATTGTCTTACATAAAAATTCCATCCTTAACTCTCTACTCCATATCTCTCAGAAGGAACCTCTGAAACCTAGAGACACCCGCCCCCTCAACACACACACTAATCTGCACATTTCACCCGCGGATTTGTGAGGGTGTCTGAGCCAGGCCTGGTGCTGCAGACCCAGCCGCGGGCAGTGTGAACCAGACCGCACCAACCAGCTTATGGTCCAACTGGGGAGGACTCGACTTTGCACAAGAAAACCAGCCAATGTACAATTACAGATTTTGGTGAACACTGGAAAAGGAAGACATGAACAGGAGGAGGTTGTGATGAAGATAACGGGGCTGGCAGCGGCCCACAAAGGAAACCAGCTACTTGGGACAGCATGTGAAGGCTGCCCCGAGAAGATGAGGTTTGTGCCAAACTCTGAAGGTCAGTGAGGAACCGAATGGGTGAAGGGCAGGGAGAGGGTGGAAGGGGGTCCAGGTAGCAGGACCAGCATGTAGGAAGACACAGAAGGAACTCACAGGAGGCCAAGTGGCAGGAGTGGACGAGGCAGGGAGACTGGTGCAAGGTGCTGCTGGCAGGGCGGGTGGGGAAGGGCAAGCTGCCCCCCGCCCAGAGGTCACCATCCCCCGCCTGGAGCTGGCAGGTCTCTTCTGAGATGGGTCCGGGGAAGAGGTCTGAACAGAATTTGGCAATGCCCGTCAGTCCTGATCACCTTCTCTGGATCAATTCATTAAAGCATGTGAAGTCTCAGAACAGGGCTTGCCCATGGGGACCCTCAATAATGTGAGCCCTCACTGCTGTCGTTGCAGCACCAACACATTAAGGGGCTGTGGGACACTCTCAGGAAATCCCTTCTTTGGGGACTGGGCCTCTGGACACCCACCTGTGCCCATTCTTCCTCCTCACAGGAAGCAGGCCATGACCATTGTCTATTGTTCCCAAGCAAGTCATACCACGGCAGAGCAAGCAAGTAGGTGTCAGGTCTACAAATTTCCTGTGAAAAGTCCCTCTTTGTTTAGAAATGATGCCTGCTCGGGTCTACGTTTCCATTAGAGACCAAACAGAAACTTGCCCAGAAGAGTGCAGAATAAGGTACAGTTATGATCTGCCCATGACTAAGGCCCCAGCTCTACCCTGAGAAGGGGCCAGAACACACCTCGCCTCTGGAAAGGGGCCTCTGGGCCCACAGGGACTCAGCTACCAGTGAGGGCTCCCCCTTTGTGTCCACTCCCAAATCACCCAGGAGTGAGGCCAGCTGGGGCTCAGGCCTCGACAGACAATGAACCCCACCTTCAGGTCCACATCTTGAGATAGGGCCAGGACACATCCTGTAGGGCCTAAAGAGACAGTACACCCATCCATCCCCCATCTCTCCTCCATGTCCTGAGATGATGAGGATGACGATGACCAAGATGACAAGGACAACACCAGTTGGCATTTATCATGTGCTATGTGTCAAGGACTTAAATCTCAACAACCCTGTTATTATGCCCATTGTACAGATGAAAAGATAGAGGCTCAAGGAAATTAAATGAGACCCTAGTTGGTAGAAGAGCTAAGATTCAAGCCTAGGCCACTTAGCCTTCCAACCTCAAAATCACGCCCCCTCTGTGCAATGAACGTCACCGAGGGGGTCAAGCTCACCGATGGCGCTGCACTAACTGAGGTAGGTCCTCAGACATCAGGACCAACTGCAGACACCCACACGTGCAGTCTACCAGAAGCTAAGTTGGGACTTCTACAGCAAATTCGCTTCTTTGCACAGAAAAACAGCACATCCGAAAACCAGAAATATGCTACGTTGGATTTTGTTTTTAAATAATCCAATTATTTCTACTTAATGAACACAAAGGTTGTCTGAAAACGGACTTTGCTAATTCAGTTTTCCCATCTGCTGCTTCAGAAGCAGGTGAGAAGAGAAATGACAAATACAAAGAAACATCTCCATCTGGGAGAGCACATGGGGGTGTGGGCGAGGCCAGGGCGCAGAACACGGGTTGGGGTGGCACCAGTCGTCTCTACCTTATCCTTTGCCACCCGGTGACACACCCTGCAGGTACCAAGCCTGGGTGGGCTTCAGAGAAGACACTCATCTGGGCATCAGCATAAACAAGGGCACCCTGTCCTGCTCTTCCTCGTGTTGGCAGAACTCCATTGGCTTTATTCCCAGCCTCAGGGGACCCTGTTTCCTGTGAGGCTGCATCTTGGGGTTTGGGACCCAGCTGGGCAGACACCTTAGCAGCCTCCCCAGTCCCACATCACCACTTGTGTGGCTGAGTTGGGACCAGGCTCTATCAGAACCACAGTTTTGGAAATTTTCCTAGAGGCCATTTAATCTGACCCCTTCATTTCACGGAGGACAAAACTCAGGCTCACAGCAGTTGTAGGACCCATTAGCTACAGGATCCAAGACTGGTAAAGGGCTTTTTTCCCCACATCACAACAAGCACCGTTTAAGAGCAGCAGGATGAGTTCCTGTTGGTGTTGCCAAACAGCTGAAAGTCCATGAGCATTTCTCCTGAGTAGGTGAGGGCCTACACCAGCCCCTCCCCTTACCCTCACCTCCACTCCCCCCATCTTGGTTTGTCAGTGAGAAGTGCCAACCATGGGCCTGCCTGGACAGGGACAGACGTCTGACCCGAGACTCCCATCCCTTGGCTGGCTGGTTCCTGCTCCCTGGAGAGGGTAGATGAGCTCTCTCTCCAGGAACCCCAAGAGCTCGGGGAATTCAGCTGTGGGGACATGAGAGCCACAGGATCACACAGCCTGGGGATGGGGCTTCCTTGTTGGGTCAGGTGCTAAGTCAGCAAGCAACTCCTGAAATAATGAAAGAGCAGCCTTTGTTCCTTATTTCCCGGCCCATTTTGAGCCCTCACAGGCCTATCTTGAGATGCTTCTTGTACCTGTACAATAAACTCCCTTTATTGGAATTGGTTCTTAAGAGGCTTCCTTCCTTGAGACCAAACCAGCCTAAATGGAACTCACTTATTACACACCGGTGCATAAAAACCAATGGGTAAGTGCCAGGCGGTGAGCAGAACAAGAGAGTTAAGAACAGAAAAGAGCACATAGTCCCTGCAGGCCAGAGTCACATCCCAAGTACTGCTCATTTGAAGTAATCACCAACAAGAGGGTCTGGAGTACTTACATTGGACCTGGACCTGGACTAGAAAGGGAATGAAAAGTTTGAGAAATGCCAAAATCAGAGCAATATGCTACAAAAAGGAAGAAAAAGGATGTCTCATGGTTTGCAGGGTCCAACCCCTTGTAGCTCATGAAAATTACCTGGGGCCACAGGGCCAGCTTTCTAAATGGCTAGCTGCTCCTGCACTAAAACCTTCTATGGCTCCCTAGTGCTAAAGCCTAGCTCTTCACTGAGGCACCTGGCAGTCCCCCTGCCAGCAGCTGGAAGATCCCTGCACAGCCTTGCTGTTTCACACCACAGCTACCAAGAGAAGGCAAGAGGCCACCCATACGTGACCTGGTCTAAGACTTTGCCTCAATTTACCAGCATCCTCAATCCCTAAATCAGAGCCCAGTCAGCTCAGCCTCCAGCACCTTGCCAGCCTAGGAATCCCTTAACTGGCCAAGGTGAGAACGCCTGCAGCCCAGTGCCCAGCTTACTGGGCAGTTATGGACCCAGCCCCCAGACTGATAAGCTGGCACGGGGACCCATCTAAAACCAGCACCAGAAAATAAAACACATCTTCCCACCCCTACCCCAACCCCACCAAACTGGCTAAATCCTGGCCCCATAAGAAAGCAGCAGAAAAGGTCGTCTGGTTTCTCAGCTGACTACCCAATAAGAAAACGCATCTAAGCCTCGTTGGCTCCATGTGGAACCCACTTCCCCCGCTTCCCATCCCAGCCACAAGGATTAGATAGCGTGTTTCCTTGGCTGACCCTACAGCTTTACCATTTAGACTTCCTCATCTTTAAAAGCACTCAAGTCATAAAAGGGAAAGAAAAGCTCATTGGATGGAGGCTTAGTATTTAGGAAGGACTCTCCTTGGTTAAAAACAACCAGCATTGTTTCTAAAAGTAGGTTAAGAATTCAGACTGCTCAGGCCCACAGCAGCCTCAAATAAACCTCCCCAAGACAATGGACACCACTGTTTTCCACCTTGGGACATCCTCCTAGGAGAAGCCAGGGATGTCCCCTGACTCCAGGTGGCCCCAGGCTCAGCTAAGGACTTGAATTTAAAGGCCCCACTCTCAGGGCTCCTTTTAAATCTAATCACCTCCCAAAGGCTCACCTCCTAAATACCATCCCACTGGAAGTTAAGGCTTCAACATCTGGATTCTGGGGGACACAAACATTCAGCCCACAACCCTAACTTTGGAATGAAAATCCTTGCTCTTCCTCTCCCCTGCCCAGGAGCCTCAGCAAAGGCCTGCTCTACCCTGAGCCTCAGTCTCCTCATCTGTAAAACAAGGCTGGTGATACCTCACTCATAGGGGAGCTAAGAAGACGAAGGAAAGTAAGGAACAGAAAGAAAACAGGGGGACAGATCCTGACATATGAACAGAGCCCCAAAAATTATGGGCAGGAGGGGAGTACTTTGAGACCAGGCACACGTGCTTGATTCACAGAGGGAAGGCTCCTGGGTTCCCAGCAGGGAGGGTAAGATGGGGAAAGGCTGCTGCTGTACAGAGGCTGCTGCGAGCCCCTACTTGCCAGCATGGGGGCAGCACAAAAAAGATGGAAGGTATCTTGGAACCTGCCTTGCCAGCTAGACTCTGAAGGATTTGTACTTTCCTCTTTGGACCCTAAGAACCTATACAAATTATAATTTGTGGTCAGTAATAATAACAATTAATGTTTCAGTGCTTGGTAGGGGTTAGGCCCTGTGCTAAATGTATCCTATGCATCATCTCAAGGGAGCCTCAATATTCTTCCCACTTTGCAGAAGAGGAAATTGAGTACAGAGTGGTTACGGGAATTATTCAAGGTCAGACAGCTAAGCGGTGGGTGGAGATTCAAACTCAGGTCATCTGGCTCCTCATTTGACCCCAGCCTCCACCCTTGACCTCCACTCAACTGCCTGCTGAATGCATTCGGTTCTTCTCCTTTAATTTCTTCCTTTTTGGTCTTGCTCTATCTTTCCCCCTCAACAGCCCAAGCTACGAATCTGATAACCTCTCCCAGGCTTCCAGGCTTCCTGGTGGACCTCACACTGTGCAGTGCTGGCGCCGGCTTACACAGGCACATTGTCAGTTGCAAACATCTTTTCCCATCTCCCTGTTGAGTGACATCAGGTTGATAGCTTGAAGCCAGCTGGGGAGGGAATATTTACACCATGAAAATCGGCAGATGCTACAAATCAGGGTATTCTTATACCCAGAGAGCCGGTTATTAAATATTTACCAGCACACCTCTGGCCTCACAGCTACAAAGGTGGTCGAGCTCTGTCTGGCCTCTTGCTCAAGAGGCCTCTGTTGAAGTTGCAGACTGAAACCTAAAATTACTCTTTCTGTCTGATCAAGTTTTGAATTCCAAAATACAATTGTGAAAACTGAAAATCAAAGGGACACATCATACCATGACTGCTCCAGGGGACCCCAAGCCACCAGGAAAAGGAAGTGGGCATTGATAGTGGATAACTGTTGTTTGAGTCAACCCAGGGCCCCTCTTGCTGCTGAAGAACTGTCCTGCCCCTACTTACTATGTTATGCTGCCAGTCAGTGGCCTGCCACCTGCATATGACTCATAGAACACCAACTCGTGTTCACAAGTGTGGATGCAAAACCAAGCAAGGGGGAGATTATAGCTCAGTGGTAGAGTGCATGCCTAGCACACACAAGGTCCTGGGTTCAATTCCCAGTACCTCCATTAAAACAAACAAACAAATAATTACCACTCCCCCCCCAAAAAAACAAGCAAGACCAATCAGTATGCTCTAATGATGTTTGGTCTACTGGGGCTGGCATAGGAATTCTTTCTTCCTGGGGATGGCAAATCTTAAAGACACAGCCATCTTTCCCATTACGGGGAAAGAGATGAGCTGTGTCAGGAAAGAAAGAAGCCAACACTCTGAGAGAAGCAGAACCAAGAGCTCTAGAAGAGGGGGGAGACAGGAAACAGAGAAGGACAATTAGCAGAAGCCATCATTTGAGCCCCACCCAGCATTAAGCCAAACTAAACTAAATGCCCTGGGGTTGATTCCTCTGTCATTTGTTTTGCTTAAGCTAGTTGGAGTTGACCTTCTGTCACTTGAAATGGAAAAAGATTAACCTAATCACAGTTACCTTGCTGAAATTTAGAAGAACCAGTCGGCAAAATGACACAGGAACCAGTTGAAAACACCAGCGGACGGCACCCGAAGCAGCAGGTAAGCAGCACATTTTGGTAACAAACACAGAGCCTCTTGGGGCAAGTGGCATCTGAGAAAAGCATCGCCATGAGTCTCTACAATATGCGTCCCACCAGCTCTCTCAGAATGTGTGTTATGGAAAAAGAGGAGTCCCACAGTTAGCAATCAACCAGATTATGATACGGGGGACAAACGGGAAGGAGTAAAGATTGAGGAGGAAAAGCTAAGAGCATGATGGAAAAGAGACTCGATTTCCTGTTTACCCAAGTGCTCAGGCCTTTAAGCTAGAAAGGTTTAAAAATGACCTGTTCCTGTTTCCCACACAGATGGGGTCTATAGAACAGTATTCTAGGAAATGCCAAGAGATGGTCCAAAGAAAAAAAGAAGAAGAAACAGTGGGATTCCATACCCAAATAATTTTGAAAAACCTGATTTATACAGTGAAAAAGAATATTTTACTCCCCTGCAGACTTCTCGGAGCCTTTGATATAAGAATGTGCTTTGGGAATATCCAAGAAGATGTAGTAAGCAGTATTTTCCCAAGCATTTGACCATTGAACCCTTTTTCTCGGATATACCTATTAACACTTTCTGCCATGGTGTTTCATGGAACATTTGTAAAATGCAGATCTAATCAAAACCCCGTATTTACAGATGAAGAAAACAATGGTCAGACAAGTGCTAAAGGTCACAAGGCAACAGATCAGTGGCCTAGCTTGAATAAGAAACCTGGTTCCTGACTCCCTGTCCAATGCTCCTTGAAGCTCCACTGTATTGACACCAAAAGAATTTTTGTCAGGTGTCCATTGGTCATTTCCTGAAGTCAAGGCAAAGAAATACTAAAACAAAAGTTTAAGACATTCATATATAATCTTGAGGTGGTACAGAACCAAGTTAGGTTCTGACTTTAGACATGCACATTTGGGCTGCTGTCAGGAACACAACTTGTATTTCCAAATTCCAAGGGATGACTTTAGCCCGACTACCTAGTGGGCCCCGATCAGCTGCCAAGTGTCTCCACGTGCGAGGGGGGAAATCAGGAACTCACATACATACATCTGACAACACAAAATAGGCATAGTACGAACATCAGAGTGAGTTACAAAATAAAAGTCAACTTCTGAGAATAAATTGCAAATATGTCAAAGAAGGCTCATAGCAGAATTAGACCAAAAAATCACTGGGTCAATTTAAACTTCATTGCCTAAAATGACGGTATTTCCAACTCTTGAAGCAGATGGGGAAAAAAGAGTTCAATTCAGAGTCAGAATCACAAAGATTCTGGAATAGGTATTAATTAGCTTTCTAAAAAACTGACCTCTAGAAAATGTTTTGTCACATCACATTGCATGCTAGAGAAAAGAGGCCAAGACCACTTCTTGGCCCATGGTCTAGAACTGTGCTGTCCAGTACGGTAGACACTAGCCACTATGTGAATTTAAGTATTATTTAATTAAAATTAAACTGAATTAATTAATTAGGAGGAGGAAGGTATAGCTCAGTGATAGAACACGTGCTTAGCATGCACGAGGTCCTGGGTTTAATCCCCACTACCTCCACTAAAACAATAAATAAACCTAATTACCTCCCCACCAAAAAATTTAAAAAAATTAAACTAAATAAAAAATTCAGTTCCTTAGTAGTATCAGCCACAATTCTAAGTGCTCAGTAGTCACATGTGGCTAGAGGCTACCATACTGGACAGCATAGATAAAGACCATTTCTGTCACCACAGAAGGTTCTATTAGACAGCACTGCTCCAAACTCTCTCACTCACCTCCCTGGTCACAGCTGATTGGCCCAGGCCAGGCCACCTAAACCAAGGGCAGCCAGCGGACAGCCAGAAGGTTTATAGGGTGACCTACATTGAAGGCTCGGCCCAATGGAGAGGCAGTGACTAACTTACCAACCAATTTCTCTTTTTGGGGACTGAACTCAACAGAGTGGGTCAGTTAGTAGTGGGGACATCAGAAGAGACGCAACAGCAGAAATTATGAAGCAGGGAGGGAAGCCACCAGTGGAGAGAGCCGTGTTGAAAGAGGGCACATGGGGAACAGCTGGAAGGAACTGTTTATTACCTGAAGAAAGCACACCTTGACTGGCACATGTTGGCCTGACTTCCAAAAGCCCTCCGCCTGTGACTGTCTGCCAGAGCCAGCTGTCCCTGCACACAGGGCAGCTCTGAGGGCCATGAACAGAACCCTGGCAGCAGTCCTCAGCTAGTGACTGATGGGGGATGGCTTACAGAACGCAGCTGCCTGGCCCCTCGGGTGGGAGAGACCTCAGGCGTGTGTTCTGTACTGGTTTTCAGAGTTCCCATGGGGACAGAGCATGGCCGCCCTAACTGGTAAACTGCTTGACAGCACACTTTTTTTTTTTTCTTTTGGCTTCCTTCCTTTTCCTCTCACTTCTCCACTCCCCTCCCGGTGCTTCCTGGGACCACCCCCCAGATAAACCACTAACACTACACTCACAGCTTCAGAGGCTACTTCTGGTGGAATCTGAACTAAAACAGGTAAGGTAAACAGAGTAGGTCTTTGTACCTTGCAAATAAAAAAGCCAAGCATATATATTGGCTCTGATCAATTTGAGGGACTAGAATGTAATAAAAGACAACGAACGCTCACACATCACTGGTGGGAACACAAAATGCTATAGCTTCTTGGGAAACAGCTTGGAAGTTTCTTATAAAGTTAAACATACACTTACCATTTGACCCACTCCTAGATATTTACCCAAGGGAAACGAAAACTTATGTTCACACAAAAAGCTGTTCATGAATGTTTACAGTGGCTTTATTCATAATTGCCCCAAATTGGAAACAACCCAAATGTCCTTCAACTGCGGAGCAGATAAACAAACAATGGAATACTACTCAGAAATAAAAGGGAGCTGATACACGTGGTAATACGGACGAATCAAACGGCGTTATGTTTAGTGAAAGAAGCCAGACTCCAAAGACTATATTCTGTGTGATTCTGTTTATACGACATTCTTGTAAAGATAAGACATAGGGACAGAAAGCAAATCCGTGGTCGCCAGAAGCTGGGGGTTGGGGGAAGTGGTGACTATAAAGGACTCTGGAGGAACTTCAGAGGGTGATAAAAATGTTCTTGATTGTGGTAGTAGTTACATGACTGTATATATTTGTTAAAATGTGCAGAACCGTGCACTTTAAAATTTTTTTTTAATTTTTTTTATCCTAATGAAACAAATAAGGTAAATTTTAAACCTACAGCATCCCTTCATCAGTGGGCTCAGCCACTTTGCTCCAGCTCTCTAGGGACAAGACATACTCACACCTACAACACTTCCCCCAGGGCAGTCATATCAGATTTGGGGAGCTGGGGGAGATTAAAAATCTAACTCAAAAATCACTGCTTTAGCTCCCCCTTAGGCCAGTGTAGGCATCTCGCCAGGCAGAGAACGTTGACCAAAGTTTCCACGAGACAGATTAGAAAAAACTTCCAAACACTCACCAAAAAATTCAAGGAGACATCAGGGGGCTGTGATTGGAGTTAAAATGAAAGGGGCATCAATGGATAAACAAAGTGTGGTACCACCACACAACGGAGTATCACTCAGCCACCAACAGGAACACAGCACGACATCTGCTCCAACGTGGATGAACTTTGAAAATATTATGCCAAGTGAAAGAAGGCCCCACAAAAGGCCACAGTTTCTATGATCGATTTATGTGAAATGTCCAGCAAAAGAGAACACAGATTGGAGGCTGCCCAGAGGCACCACAAGTGGGGAGTGACTGCTCACAGGTACAGGGCTTCTTCTGAGGGTGACAGAAGTGTTTTAGAATTAGGTAGTAGTGATGGTTGCACCATATGGTAAGTGCACTAAAAAAATCACTGAAATGTACACTTTTAAATGGTGACTTTTATGGTATGTGAATTATCTCAAATTTTTTTTTAAAGGAAAGAAGAGAAAGGTGCTCAAAGGCCAAACCCTCAGTACCAGAGACTTACAGCCAAGACCTCAGAGTCCAAGGAAAGTGGCTCAGAAGGTGAGGGAATGGGTGGAGGTGGGAGTGGGGAGGAGTGGGGGGTGCTGCGGCCCAGGACCACCTCCCCAGACACACAGGCCTCAACCCCAAAGCCAACATCAGCCAAGTTCCCTAAATTCTCTGAATCCTCAGAGCCTTTCTGAAAAGAATAGAGGAGACAGGGGCTGGGGAGTGACCAGTGACTCCTGGGGCGGGGGCTCCAATTCTGCCCACATCCCAGCATAGTTTCTTGATCACAGCTGTTTCCCCATCAGACCTTGAGCCCCCGGAGCATAAGGGCCAGGTCTGCCTTGCTCACCACTATGTCCCCAGACCCCAGAGCATATGTGACACTCAGAGTGACTGAACGAATGAGACCAGAGTGGAAAATAAAATACTACCTAAAATGTAACACAATATACTCTCTGAAGACTAAAGGAGTGCAGAATAGACAAAACCTTTTTCTGGGCATGAAGAGACAGGATTCAAGTTCAAGTTGTGCCACCCTGGGTGGGCCATGGGTCTTCTCTGGCCGTCAGTTTCCTCTTCCTTTAAAAAGGGGTGTTTGGCCAAGATAACCTTTCAGCACTTCCTCCCAGACTGAAGCACTGTATGATTCTGAAAGTATTTTTCCAAAATGATTAGAATTAAGACAGTGCCATTGCAGGGGGGACAGTCACCAGCTCAGAAGGCCTCATATGTGACTTATCCTCTCTGGCTGGGGTTTGGATTAGTCTAAAGGCAAGAGTCAGAGAAGACACATCAGCCTTGTTGACTAAAGCATATTTTCCATCAGGTGTCACAGAATTCTGTTCTTTCTCCTTTTCCCCAAGGGACTCCCCCGAAACAGTCCACACAAGCATGTGAAAATAAATGTGTTCTGTGGAAAAGCATGCACACATACACACACACGCACACCCCTGGGGCAAAGAACCGCCAGGCTCCCCCTCCCCTAGGCCAAGCTCCAGAAGCCAGATCTGGGAGATATTGCATTTTTGTGAAATTGTGTCATTATTCACAAAGAAGTTCACTCTCAGGCCTCACATCCACTCAAGAGCTGGGTTGGGCTGCCGAGAGCCACAGTGAAGAAAGAGCTGGCCACTTGCACCATTTTTATGGTGAACTATGACATCCAAACAAGCTTGGGTGTGTGTAAGAGACGGAGCTGGGCTGCTGGTCCAGCCTTGGAGAGGCTGTGCATCACACACCAGGGACCAGGCTCATACAGAGCTTGGACTCAGTCAACGAGGCACGTAAAACATAGCAACTGCATCAAGGACTCCAGGCTTCTGGTTGAAGGGTCAGGGGAGGCTTGTTCCTCTCCTCCATAAACCTCCCACGGGCAGGGTCCAGGGGGCTGCGGAGACCACCACGACAGGAGAAACAGACATCAGCGACCTAATGTGAAACGTTTTCTGATGCAACCCTGAACCTGAGACAGTTCATGTCTGCCCCAATCCCCCATGCCTTTCCTTGGAATCTGGGGATTCCACCACTAGCCAATGTAACCTACAATGGAGCTCTACCACTGAGCGCTGAGGGGCTCTGGGTGGTGTGGACACCAATGCATTATCCCTGGGCTGTCACTGCTGAACCGTCTGCAGGCTCAGAAGGACATGGCAACGGCACCCTCACCAACAGGTTAGGACAGCCAGGGTCTGAAACCAGCCCGGAGCAATGAGACCGTCAATGAAAGCCAGGCCAGCATCCCCTACCAGGCGTGGGACAGGGCCTTTGCAGTCCACACTGACAATGACCCTCACCCTCCAGTGTCCGTCAGTTCCCCTGAGGAACTCCTGGCCTTTCAGACACTTGATTTACTGGCCCCAGGGGAAGAGGAAGACTTAAGTAAATCTGGGCACATTCCAAAGTTCAAACCTTCAACCATGGCCTCATCTCTCATCTTCAAGGAAGAGAAATGTTATTTATTGGGGTCTCCACTAAGACCCCATAAACATAAGGCAAAAACAAATGAATGCCCCTAAGCCCCTCACTGACCCCCCACTAGTCAGGAACTCACAACTCAAAGCAAATTCAGGAAGGCCACAGTTCCACCTCTTAACAGTCTCACCTTTGCCTGTAAGTCAGGAGATAAACAGAAGTGTAGAATGTTCTACAGGAACATGGGACGGTGGTTTTCATGGGAAACACAAGGACCAGAAGGAACGCTTTGCCTAAGGTCACGCTGATACTCAGGGTAGAACTGAAACCAAACTCAGGTCTCGTGACCCCTGGTCCAGTGCCCTTCCCCCCAGCGCCCCAGTGTCGTCGGTGCACCCAGGAGTCGGGGCTCTGGGGGTTGGTGGAGCCACACATCCCAGGGAAAGACTCATAGAGCCTCCCACTCCTTGGCACTGGGAAAGGGCTGCGCTCCGTTCCCTGGGATTCAGCTGAGCCTCTCCTGGGAACTTCATCATCTCTGCCCTCAGGTTCCAAAAAGGGAAACAACAGGGCACTCTCTGCCCACCACAGGCCAGGGCTGCCGGACACAGAGCCCAGTGACCCTCCAGCTGCCCATGCCACCAGGACCAGAGGCTGGGGCTGCCAGTCAGGTGTTTTCCCTTCCACACACCTGTCTCCAAGACAGTCCTGCTACTTGCACTCCTGCTCAAGCAGCACCAGCATGCCGTGCAGACCAGCAGTCACAGGGACCCGCCAGGGAGAGGGCTCACTGCAGCCCTCCAAGCCATATGCCTTATGCCATGTCCCTGGACCCAGGTTGAGCTTGGCACACTTGTCCAGATGTAGCAACATCTCAAGGCAATAAGGGTAGGATGAAAAAAAGAAAACACGCCTCCCATTCATGGGAGAGCAGCAAGTGGGAGATGCACAGGGCAAGGGAGGAGGGTGCAAGTTCAAGACCACCAACATCGAGGCCAGTGCCTCTCAACACCGGGACATCTGTGGTGTCTGGAGATATTTACTGTTGTCAAAACTACGGGGGTGCTCTGGGCATCTACAGATGCTATTAAACACAGGACAGCACACAGGACAGCCCCACCCCCTCAACAAAGGATTATCTGGCCCCCAAATGTCAACAGTGTCAAGGCTGACAAGCTTTAGATACTTACCTGTGGGAAGAAGGTTTTTTTCCTTTTCCTTTCTTTCCCCCAGGTCCCTTTCATCTCCGCTGTATAAGATAGCAAGCAAATTAACATGGGAGTAGACAATTACAACTTCAGATAAACATTCACAGCCTGTCAGAATGGAAGTTTTGGCTTTTCATCCACTGCAACGACCATCAGTCACTGGGGTGCAGGAAGGAAGGCCAGCCTTTGGGAGAATAACTCAGAGCAGAGACAGCCTTTAAGAGGAAGTTCTCAGTATGTTCTTAAAAAGTTTAAGCATCTCAAAAAGGCCTTCGTGATGCCACAAACATCCAACGTGTGCTGCCTTTTTCACTGGATCAAATAAGCAGCACTCTGGCAGGGGCTCTGGATACAGCCTGCTTTTTGTTTTAACGTGGTTTTAATCAGGGAATGGTGGGTCTTCGTTCCTTCAGGAAATTCTGTCAAATGTTTCACATTCCTCGTAGAGAACAACTAAACCGTGGGGCGAGCAGCATTTTGTTGTTTCTTAATGTCAGTGTGAGAGGGGGAAAAAAAGTGAGGAAGGAAAAAATGCAGATGTTCGTCATTGAAAACACACTCAAAACCAGAAACATTCTTCCCCTCATGCGCAAGGTCAAGAATATCCGGGTAATTTGCTTCGTGTTTTGCAGACGTGCTAATGGAACATGAGAAATGCTGTTGCAAAGGCCCTTGACAGGCGGGCCGGGAGACGCCTAAAAATAGACATTTCACCCCAAGGAGAGTTATCTGTTAGAACTGCATCATTCTCAGCATGGCTGAGCAGCGCAGACTGTGACACCGGGGCATGAAAAATATAGTAACGGGCGCTATGACAAATTCTCTGTACTTAGAACAAGAGGAGATAAACTGGGCTGTGACTAAGCCACTCGCTTTGAAGCTCACTTCCAATTTTCCACGGAGCTCCTACCCAGCTATCAAGATGCTGATTTGGGAAAGTGAGGGGAGAGGATGGGGCATGTCTGACATCGCCTTATCCCTTCCTGGAAGTAAAGGAGTGGCGTAGAAAGTTTATAGACCTCCAGCAAGTTACGAAATTTCTCCGAGCCCCTCAGTTTTCCTTTGGAAAATAGAGGTGGTTGTGAAAACTAAAACTGAGAATGTATGAGCCCCGGGCTCAGCCCAGAGGAGGGCCTCACTCAACAACTGTGAGCATGTGCTGATTTGAGGAGACAGCTTTCCAGGCAAGGTCGACCCAGAGTGCTCGAGGGGAAATTCTGCCTCTCAAGAGCCTGTCAGGACTCAAATCTCCTCAGGCTCAGTTGTTTTATCCATTCTGTGAGTCCCTATCCAGCCTGGTCATGGATGTGGGACAGCAGGGACTTCTGGGGGCAAAAATTAGTGAAGTCCTTCTGCAAAGCGATTTGGTAGCACTTAATCCACATCCCTCCACCACCAAGTCCACCTCCAGGCATCTGCAATCTCCACTTCTGGGGGTCTGCAGTGTCCTCCCGGGGGTCTGCAATCTCCATTTCCAGGGGTCTGCAGTGTCCTCCCGGGGGTCTGCAATCTCCACTTCCGGGGGTCTGCAGTGTCCTCCCGGGGGTCTGCAGTGTCCTCCCGGGGGTCTGCAATCTCCACTTCCGGGGGTCTGCAGTGTCCTCCCAGGGGTCTGCAATCTCCACTCCGGGAGTCTGCAGTATCCTCCCGGGGGTCTGCAATCCTCCACTGTCGGGGGTCTGCAGTGTCCTCCCGGGGGGTCTGCGCAAAAAGTTACAATAATGATGCTGTAACAATGATGCTGTAAGAGCTGCTAATCTTAATGGAGCATTTAAAAAGTTCTAAAGCCTTTATGTGTAACTTAAACACATACCCTTGACACATTATAACCTGGTATATTCTACATGTGATATTTATTTGATATACATTAAATAATTGAACCTTACAAAGTAGGTTTTAAGATTATTTTACAGAAAAGAAAGTGGAGACATG